CCTTTCTTTTTTCGCTCTAACAATTCATAGGAGATCACACAAAAGGAAATTCAGATTTAACTCAAGAGTTATTTTACTTTATACATTATGTACATTTGTACACTTACTTTTTAAAAACTGTTTAAGGTTTTTCTCTAGTTGATCAGGTAAATACACTGTCTTGAGATAAAACAATCCATCTGCTTCCTTGTTCCTCTTCTCCAAACCAGTTTTCCCATAGGCATGCTTCTCAATTCTAGTGTTTATTTCTTCTTCACTTTTAGAGGGTTCAACATGGATTGTACTAAAACTGGAAGACAACACCTAACAGGCAATAAAACAAGTTTTTCTCCTAAAATGACCAAACATCTGTGAGGCAAGAAATTTTACCACAAAAAAAAAAAACAGTTCTATAATGCTCTAGGCCTTTTTATTTACAAAAATGTTGAGAAAATGCAATAAGGGGTCATGAGACCAACCTCCGAGATCCAGGGTGGGATTTCGATTCATTGCAAGCAAGCTAACTGAATAAGGTGGAGGCATGTGTTTTTATCTGGAGGTCAGGGGGTTCAAGCCTCGCCCATTGCGTTGTTTCCTTAGACAAGGAACTTTACTCCACTATGTCTCTCTTCAGCCCAGGGCCCAGTTGTTCAAAGGCCAATTAACGCTTAACCTGGGGTTAAATCTAACCCGGGTTTCCTTTTTCTCATGTTCAAAAGTATTTTTCTCGGATAATTTTCTCTGTTTAGAGCTTCCAATCATCAACTTACAGACAAAAAGAATTAAAACTGAAATGCTTTTTAAGCTTTCAAACCTGAATCAAAATCTCGCGCCAGCCCTGGGTTATCTTAACCCAGGGTTAGTGCGAAATTTGAATTCAGATTTGAAAGCTTAAAAAGTAAATTCAGTTTAATTCTTTTTGTCAACAAGTTGATGATTGGATGCTGTTAAACATAACAGAGAAAATTATCCGAGAAAATGCTTTTGACCAAAAGAAAAAGAAACCCTGGTTAAATCTAACCCTGGGTTAAGCGCTAATCGGCCTTCGAACAACTGGGCCCAGGTGTATAAATGGGTACCGATGACATACTGCTGGGGGGTAACCCTGCGATGGACTAGCATCCCGTCCAGGGGGGAGTAGCAATACTCCTAGGTGCTTTATGCTAATGAAACCAGGATAAGCTCCGGCCATGTGGGCCTTTGGCTCGGGTGCACTTTTACCTTTTAACTGAATAAGGGAAAGGAACCCTGAGTAGTGTCTCTTAGGTTATGTTCACACTAAATACACCAAGTAGCTTTTGTGCTGGCTTGAAAACTTCACCAGACAGGGCTACTTTTCACACATAAGAACAATCAGAGACTTTGACGTGATTTCTGCAATGGAGAGAAGCTGTGCTGCTCCGATCTTGAGATGTGTGGACAACTTGTTCCAGTTCCGGAAGTTGCTGGCCTTAGTCATTTTGACTGAGAGATTTCTTAGGTTGAGTTTTGTTTTGTGCACACCTCAACAAAGCTGAAGACCCAGCAAAATTCAGTACCTTTCTAACAAAATAGTACATTGGCATTCATTGTTTTCACTGAACACCGATAGCACGCACAAAAGGTCAGCTGATTTTAACCGAAAAGAAAAAAAGACCTTAAGTGAAGGAATTAAATGTCCTCTGAAGGCATTGCACGTACACGGTATAGTCGTGTGACATGAATGTATGGAAGAAAATTTCTGGCGGCAGTGACCTGTAGGCCCATGTGTAAAAATTATGAAGATAAAGATATCTTTATCGGCTTGTAAAATGGTGGTAGAGAAAAAACGGATAAAATAGTACCTTAACTGATGCGCCAAGACGACGATTTAAAAGAAGCCAGCAACTTTTACATCGTCTCAAATCACGAAAGCAGATCGCCATGACTTTCCTTCACTTGTGTCAAGGTAGGGGGGAAACTGGGAGAAACGAAACTATGTACGTCATGTAACGTGAATCAAACTGTACTGCAGACCTAACGACCGATCGTTTAGGAAATAGCGCTTTCTACTAATGACGTCACAATTTTCTGGTCCCTGCTGTGACTCAGACATTAAACCTGACCAGTGTAAGAGTTTAGTATGGGAAAGTCACGTTCGACAACAAATTTTCGTCGTCTTTGAAGATGTTTATCGTTAAAGGCAACAAAATCCAGTTCGGTTTCGATAATAAATATCCCGGGAAATAATCAACGCGTGCCAAGACAGCGTTAAACGTGGAAAAAGCTGTACAGATGAGTGGTTTTATTTCTTATGGGGCGTCTTAATGCTGTGGGTAAAATTATGTTAAAATGTGTGGAGAGAAGGGCTTCATAGCTGTGCGTGAAACGGTGCATTTGGTTAAATTTATAGGCAAAGGTTGCTCAATTTTTTTTTTCGAGTGCTTATTTTACGCTACTTGGTACTACAGGATATAAAGTACTAAAGTATTCGTCCCGGATTCATATGGTCTACCTGGCCGCACAACAACAGAGCAAACTTATACAATTTCCGGTTTGTGCTAATGTTGGTGTGCTTTTCACCTTAGATGTTCTGTCACAGGCTTGCGAGAAGCACATCCACACTCGATTTTCTCTTTAGCAATTTCGGTTTTGGAGTATTACACAGCCAATAATGTAATGTCATGTTTCAGTGCATAGCGGTGCTTTCTGCCTAAGACAGATCTAGGGATCCGATTTCAGTAGCCTTCTTCGATCGAGTGACTTTATTTTCTGATTTTAACCATTTATTTGAGTTACTGGACCAGGTTTTGCTCCCAATAGCAGTAGTACCTTTTATATATTGGAATTATGCTCGAAAACATTTTAAAAACGCTCACTGCGAATTTTATGAACAATTTTCATGTCGGAAACGTATGTTTCCCATACAAAGCCTTGGAGTAGAATGCAAAGTTTGTCTGAGTCACGCGGGGGGTCTAAGGTGAGAAAACCTATTTTTAGTAATAGTAGAAAGCGCTATTACAGGCTCTTTAATATACACGGGGAAATGCTCTTTTGGAATGCTTAAAGTATTTGAAGTGCCTTAACGCAAGGGGGACATGGGGAAGGAGTTAAGGGGGCAGGAGGGTGTTCTGCTAAGGTCTAGGACCCCTAAGCCCATCCCACACCAAAAGTGAAGGGAGTTTTCATTCACTTTTTCATTTCTTGACATTTTAAATTAACCTTGTTTAGGTAAGTGGCAAGATATCAATGTTACATTAATAATAGTGAGAAGTTACACCTCATTCATTGACCAAGTAAAAAATGGAACCCCATGACACGCATGTGGCTCGGCAGCTTTTCACAAGCATCATAAGAGGCAGTATCCCTTTGTCTCCTCTCTCCAGCTCGGGTAGGTCTTTTTATATCACTAGAGTGGTTCTTTGGGTGGATTTAAAACAATAATACTAGGATATCTAAAAGATAGTAATGCTGCGGCACATTCTGTTGATACTGGCATTAGTTAGGCAGTGAGACTTAAAAGAATCAAAAATGACATTGAATGTCCTATTTACATGTTGGAAAGTACTAGAATAATTACTATCAGTCTATAGAAAGAACTCGTGGGAACGTTGTTTAGAAAATGATCAAGTGGTTATCAACTCTGGTTTTCCCACAGTAAATTGTAGGAAATAATAGAAATTCAGATTGTTTATCCATATATTTAATATACGGTGCACGATATTTTCTCTGGAAACACAATACTTTTCTTGCTGTTTGTTGCACTTTATTAAGTAACAGTTATTTAGCTATATATTTATAGAAAACAACAACACAAAAAACGGGAAAAAAAAGAAAGAAGGAATAAATAACTCAGTAGGATTCGAACCCGGCACCTTCGACTCGACGCGACTACACTTAACCACTACACCACAGAGACTGATTACGTAATCTTTAGGAAAAGTCTTTCATTTTATTCCTTTTCCATGAAACTTCCGCCGGCAAGATGATCGCCAGCCGCATTAACCGAGCTATTAACAGTGAAAAAACAATGTAAACGCATATTCCATGGCAATGAATGAATGAAAGAACATAATTATGCTTTTCAAAACGCCGATACACGTCCTCGTCTGCAAAGTAGGACACAAAACATATGTTTTGTTATCTCGATTTCCGCTGTTATTTTGAAGCGAATGGTCAAAATCACATCCATTTTCGGCTCATACAGTTTCTTAAGAATAGCATTGCATGACATTTTCTCACTTTCACATCACCTTCTAGCAAGCTGGAATTTGTATATCGTGTTGCGGAGACGAAGAGCAAAAAAGGCTCTTGAATTGAAATCCAATCCCCAAGTTAACCATCGTACTCATCTGAAAGACTCCTGCGTGTCTTAAAATTTGGTAAGACCTCTAACCGTGCTGTAGAAAATTTGCCACAAAGAAAACTCTAAGTCTGAGCAGCGAACGATGCACTCTCTCGCCCACCGAACTTCCCCGTGTTTTTATTTGAGTTGTTCGTGGCGCAATGCACTCTGGTTAAATGCAATGCATTGTGGTAAAAAGTGTGGTTAAATGCAATGCATTGTGGTAAAAAGTGATGAATTCGAGAATTCGTCGCCCCTTGTATATTTCCTTTAAATCCTGATTATGTTGCTGCTCGCTCCCTTCGGTCGCTCCGCAGCAACAATTCATCATCAATTCAGGGGCGTTTGATTCGATCAGGTTCAAATTACAGGTCATTGACCTTAACACTTTTTCTACCATGCAAAACTAAAAGAGGAACTAGTGGAGCTTGGGTTAGCTAAGGGAAAACCAGGTCAAAAAAGCGGGAAAAACCTGACTAAGGACATCTCACTCAAAGATTTGCTTCTAACATTTCATTTACATCAAACCTGAACAACTGCATCTTTTACCAAATTATATATTAAGTCAAACATTATTCTTGAGTTCATCAAGACAGGATGCCTCATTCACACTTACAAAATGACTGACAAATTGAGTGGACATAATTCTTTTATTAAATAAACTTAATACAGCTTCAAAAACAGCTACTAAATGGCTAGCAACAATATTGGATTTCTTTCATTCTTCCTCTGCCTCTAAATTTATGTTATTACCAAACTTGGCATAAAGTTTCACTTTCAAATCTCCTAAAAGAGCTTTGACTTCTCCAGACTGTGACTCCAGAGATTTGACTTCTTCCTGTAACTTGGATTTTGCATTCTCCAGGTACTCCTGAGTTTCCTCTGAAGACAGGTGAATGAACACCTCCCCTATTCTATAAGTAAGGACTGTTAAGAAAGCAAACAACTTTTCTGCAAAACTAAATAAGACAAAGTTTTATGGTAGCCTGCAAACCTGGCAGGATTTAGCAGGTTTTGCTGCCAAAAAAAATCCCTCACAGCTCCACCTCCAAAAAGTACATGTACCCTGTATGTAACAATCCTACCAGCTATGCAGACTGTTTTCTGGTAGATTTTAAAACTTCTTTGAAAAAGTTCCCCTCAAAAAAGGAATGGGTTGGCCAGGGGGTGGTTTGGTAAAATTGGAGCCCTTAAATTTTAATTCAAGCTTTAAGGAATAAAATAGTCTAGATCATTGCAGTAGCTACCAGTCCACATTCTTATTGCAGCTTTCCTGCATTTTTGTGTTGCTTTACTGTTTTAAGCTGCTCATCGTTGTGATCTCTTGTTAAATTTCAGTCACTAGTGTGTTTGGTAGTAGCCAAAATTGTGCAAAGAAGTATGACCTTAGCCTGATTCAGAAGCAATGTCTGCTGTAATGCAGAATAAAACTGTAAGAAGCTGAGTCCACATGTTTCCTCTTCTCTCATGACATTTGTGACAAATCTGCCTGAAAGAGGTCTTGCAATACCAGTCTTAATACTATTGGCCGGTGCAAGGAAAGGGTAAAAGAACAGTCCCGGAAACCCCCTGCCTTGACAGTACTCACCTTTTTCTTCAGGCAACTAGAAAATCTAAAGTTTTGCGTAAAACTCATATACTGAGGACCCTAGATGTTTCCAGCTAGTTTCAGAGCTTTGGGTTCCCTACAATTAATTGTTTCTAAGAGTGCAGCCTTCTTAATGAAAACCTGTGCAAGGGTGGTAGAGTGGTTGATGTTGATGGTGGGGATAGGGTAAGTGTAACATAGATAGATCATGAGCTTTGGTCTTTCAGTGTGCTGTATCATCGGGGGAACTGCAGAATAAAACAGGCAGGTACAAAACTTGGACCAGATCACCTCATTTACATACTTACAGGAAAAATAGTTCCCATTGTTTTCCGAATATGTAAATGAGTTGATCCGGTCTGAGTTTTGAACATGCTCGAATCAAAACCTTTCTTGATGAGAGTACTCTTACTTGCCCTTTATGGCAGAAGTGAGGGTCAGATGATGAGTGCTTGCGATGGCTCAAAGATACCACAGAACCCACATGTGAGCATTGTATTTTTTAAAAAAGAAAATAAGGATATGGTATTGGTGCTGTGTCGTCCTCTAGCATCAAAAGCTCATCACCAGCATCCTCAAGATTCTGAAGTTCTTTCTGCAGAGAGAGAAGCAAAAATATAGTAATATAAGCTTAATTAAATTTAATATCGCTGGTTTGCATGTGATGTCACAGGGGCCATGTTGGCGGTCAAGAACAAAAGCACTTCTCTCCCCTGGGAACTAAACTCCATTTTGATGTAAATTTTTTGAGTAAAATTTCTATTGTATTGACCCCCCAACATGGTCGCCTTGTCACGTGGTTGCAAACCAAGAATAGCTCAGTGAGGCTCTTTTAGGAAGGTTGCAAAAAGTGAAAATCATTATCTTAAACCACGGAGCATTACTCCAAAGCTTCCAAGAAATGCTGGCCTTTTTTATGCTGCGCCTTCTTGCATACCTTTTTCGCGTCTATTTCGTCCTGAAGTTCTTGCATTCTTGCAGTTTTTCGTGCGAACGTGTTTATCTGTTGTTGATCTTCGAATGTGATATTTGTGTCCTCTCCTCCAATCTGTAAGGAATTAATGCAGTCTAACATTACACTGACTCATTTACTTGAAAGTAAACCACAAAGCACAAAGAGTTGTAGCGCTGCTAAACATTACAATCCAAAAAACCCTTTGTAGGTTTTTCAAACTCTACCTTTGGCTTGGAGGTCGCCATTTTGAATTTGAAGGCTTAGTGACCGCGCTACTTTAAGCGCGCGACTTCGTTGCTTGGACGCGAGAAGTATGCTAATTTTATTCATAAACTCTACAAATTATTGTCAACAACACGCTCATTAGATGTCTTGACCATAATTTATTGATATCGAATCAAAGAACTCGATAGGGGTCTTTTAATTTATGGGATAACTGCTGCTTTCATTACTTCCCCGCAGCGCGTCTTCTCTTTGGAACTTCGGAATGTGTGAGGCAATGTACGATCAAGTCTTCGAACGCTGTGGTGAAAAATCTTCATGATGCTCTACTTCATTGCAATTTGCTCAAGAATTTGGAACAAATTAACTTAAATCTGACCTTGTTGCTATGGGAGGACGCATACTAGAATGGGTAAGCTGCCCTCATGTTTTGATTTCAAAAGGAAATCAAAAAGTAAATCAAAATACACTGAGTAATGTTTTGATGATGTTTGTCCGGCCTTTTGATCAACTCTAGGTCGTTTAGTTATTTGTTAATGACTAGTTAACAAATTAAAGCTTGTTGTTTTAGGCATAACAGGTAATCATAAAATTATTGCGTATCACGAGATAAACCCTACGGCCCCACAATACTGAGCCAGACTGAACTGTGCCTAGAAATCGAACATTAATAGTTCCATGAGCTTTTCAATAGGTTTACTGCAGCTGCACTCATGAAGAGCAGAATTATGCGGAAATAGGGTTTAAAAACCTTTTTCAGTTCATGCAGGCCATGCGGGTATTTTTTTGTAAGTTACTTATTTTAAATACAATAACCCAAAGATTTTGTCTGCTTAGTGAAACTGATTGAGAATAATGGAAACTCAAACAAAATACCGGTACATACCGTTGTAAAAACCAGCTGGAAATGCATATAAGCTAATTTATTATAATGACTTCTGCATAATGTATTTTTTCCTCAAAATATTTTTGTTTCCCCTCTTCACTTATTGAAGATGATTACAGTATAGCTCAACTTTACAGAAGAATAATCTCACCCTCTGTTAAAAATGAAGAATGGCAGAAACAGACACATGTTCGGCATCAATACCTCAAGAGTCAATCACCAGTCAGCCGACTCAAAGTGGCCAGTCCAACACACAGCATCATGTCTGCCCCTGGTCTCTTAGAAACTGACATGGCCCTTCAGGTACACACGCATGGATGCCATATTTAATAAGGTGTTCCAGAATACAAAAACATTATTGAAATTTTCCCCTCGGTAAGATCTCTAGGGGTGGCGAATGGTAAAATCTGAGACTTGCTGAGACACCGAGATCCTTGTTAGAAATCCGAGCCCAAGACTCTTTGGTAAAAAGTTTCGAGACTCAAAAAAAGTAAAAACGAACCATGCAAAAACAAGATTTCGAGACTTGTCAAAAACGCTTCCAAGATTTCGAGATCCTGCCAAAATTTTCCGAGACCCATGTTTTACCATTCGAGGTACCATTCGCCACCCCTATCTGTTACCACCACCCTTCCTGTGAAGATTTCAGATCTTTAGACAGTTTCCTGGGCTAGATCCTACAGTAAATAGGATGCTAATTCATTTCTCCCTACGCTCTCCACCCCACTTCCTAGATGTGTTGGTATATACCCCTCATATTTTCCCATTGATCACCATCATTGTGGTCATTTTTTTTCTTACATTGCATACATAAGTTGTCATTGCCATTTATATTATTGTCTTTGTCATCAGCTCCAGCAATGTAATCGTCACTATCACCATTACCATCACCGCGTTCATCATTATAACCGTCGTCCTTCTCCTCCTCCTCCTCCTCCTCATCATCATCATAATCATCATCTTTCAACTTCTGCAATTACATCCACCAATTCTGGGTTTATAACCTAATAATGCATTTACCTTCTAGCCTATAAATGAAACAAGCACAGCTGTCACTGAAAAATCGACAACAAGGAGTGAATATGCAGGATATAATTTTCAGTAAGTCTGATAGCCATTTAATCTTCATCTTGCATGTATCATTATTTTGAACAGTTTTTGTTATCTTTTAATTTATTTGATCAATGTATTATTATTACCATTCTAACATTCGTTGATACTTGTTACTCTGTGTTTTGTAAAATTGGCTTTTGCTTTCTCCGATTATTTCTTCTCTCAGACCAACAGTAAAGTTCAAAACAACATCTCTCCCCGCCATGGCACTGAGCAGAAAGTACTCACCATCTCCCACAGGAACAACAAGAACAGTTCCCATTTCCTTCAGCCACAACATGGTAATACCACTCGTGGGGAGGGGTGTATAAAGAAGGTCGAAAAACTGTAAAACCACTCAAAAAAGCATGAAAAAAAAAAACCACACCATTTCAAAATTTGCCAAAGTAGTATCACTGACACTGTTATGCCCCCCTCCCCTGCCCCCTTCCATTAGTAATAAGCAGCAGGTAATTTGTCTCATGGTAGAATTTAAAGTGAGAGGAGAACTTGTTTCATTTTCCTTGTTACTACAACTATAAGGAATGCACTAGCGTTTCTTTGGTGGAAAAAGATTATCATGAGTAAAGGATGTTTCTTCTCTTCTCCATCCCTTTTGAATGCCTGCCATGTAAGCTTACGAAATCCTTAAGGGATAATAATAGTGGCCACCATCTCTTTGACCTTCCTTTCACTGTAACAGACATGTTTCTAGAAGTTTGGCAGCCAAATATGTAATAAAAGTAACTTTGAAAACTGCATTTACATGTAAACCAAGGCTTTTTTTCTTCAGACAAACTTTACATCAGTCTCGTCTCATTCACCTGGTGTAAACTGTTACAGAAAAGCAGAGTTTTTATATTTTAAGTCTCGTCTTTATGTGAATTTTGTTGTTTTAGGGAGTACCATCAAGATATTGGACAAATGAGAAGTAAGTCGAACCTAAAGTTGTTAAATGTTACTATTAATATTTTTAGACATGTTTGTTCTCTGTTGCCCTTACTTTGATAGCCTGTTCCAGGCTCTCAGATAGTGGGGAAGACGCGAAAGAAAAAGGCACGCGAATTCCTCCCGTTTTATTTTCGTGTTTGTGCTTTCTCAATTCAGCGGACCCGACTATCTCGGAGCCTGGAACAGGCTATTACTTTGATCATTATTTTGAATACCTTGGTTTATTAGTTTTACTTTAGAGCGGTTTTCTTATGTCCTTGACATGAAAACGCATGAACGCAACAGAACAAGAAAAGAACGGAAATAGAGCGATTTGATTGGTTTATGGAGCGGATACACGCGTGGCTTTTGGTTGGTTAAGCGAACGCTCGGGTGAAAAAACTTCATGCCCGAGAACTTTCAGAAATCAACCGATACTCTTTGACGTCACACTACGTCACACTACAACACAATTGGCCAATCGAACAATGCCTTCTCCATATTAGGGTTTTCTTTGACGGGAAAAGGAAGAGGCCATGTTTTGATCTTTTCATCCATCGGCTGATAAAACAAATAACGAACACTTACCGAAATCATTTTTAAAGTCGTACGAAAATCGCATGGGATGTTAGCGATAAGTACAAAGTACGAGTCTTTAAGTCTTGATGTTTTTTTTTGATGGGTGGTAGATGTACATGTATAACCCTGATAGCAAACGACTAGAAATGAGATGCAGTTGAACTTGCGGCCACCCCTCGACAACGGCTACCTTTCTCTACGACAACTACTTTTTTTGGAGGACAGTCCATACATTGACTTATTACATTCTTCTGTCTCCAAGGCGACCATTGAGGAGAGGTTTACCTGAAGCTGGCTAAGTTTACAGAATAAGTACCACTTTTACATCTGTAGAAAAGCTGGTTAAGATCAACACTAGTCATTTGATGTTAATCTAATCCACATTCTTTCATTAAAATTACCAGTCCTAGAATATTGTACAGTAGACAAAGAGACAGGCTGAAGGCCGAAGAACAAGCAAAGGAACAGTGTAGAAGAATGAAAAGGACGTCTGAGGTTGGTAAAACCTGTCAATACAAATAAAGGCAAAAAGAAACTGTTCTGAAATACTTGACTTTTGGTTAGGTTTATGAATAGGCATTATGAAATGCTTACCACATTTTTAATTGTACAATCAAACCTCCACTAGCAGCCATGGCCACCTCTTTACGACGGCCACTCTTTTGGCGAACAGTCCATACACTGACTCTTGTCTGAACCCCTCTACTACGGCCACCTCTCTACAACAGCTCCTTTTTTTTGCGGACATTCCATACATTGACTCCTGTTTAAAACCATCTATAACGGTCACCTCTCTACGGCCACTTTCTTCTGTCCCCAAGGTGGCCTTTGAGAGGAAGTTTAACTGTATTCTGTTTGGACCAAGATGGGTTTTTGATCATCATGGTTTCCATACGCTAGGTTTTTATGACTCTCGCGCATTTATCGTCGATAAATCGCAAAAAATAACTATGCAGTCGCCTTACTTTACACTTATGATTAAAATAAAGCCTAAAAATCACAGCCAAAAATCGCACGAAAACGGGCCTTTACGAATGCGACTTACGAGAAGTGCCACAAGACAATCTCCTGAGTGTGTAAAAATGAAACCTTATAACAGTACTTTATTGCAGTTGGTCGTAAAATTAAACTAAACCCGCCACTGGACGAAACGCTTTTTTATTAGCCTGTCCACAGCCTCTTTTTTTTTTTTTTTTCTTTTTCGAGAAGTCGACAGCGCGCGAAAAAAAGAAAACAAGAAACAAAACAAAGCAAAAAGAAGAAAAACTAGAAAAACTCCCTTCCTCACCCGGTCCACCTCTAGCTGCGCTAGCGGTCAATAAATCCCCGTTGGCTTATATTTTCATACGCGCGCTCAATGATCCGCCTAAATAGTATGTAGAGGCGCTCTGTGAACAAGCTCCAAGCTTCATTTTTTTCGGTTACTATCGCTATTGATAATGGCTTATCATTTCAAACAAGAGAGAATGTTTTAAAATGTTAAAAACTCATAATGTATGCATTGCTGTTTCTAGATTCTTAGCCACAGGATTGACAAGCAGTACTACATGGCAGGAACAAAAATACCGTTACAAGGAAGGTTGGTTTACAGCTTTTACTGAATAGTACCGTTAACTGTTTCTTTCGAACTCAGGGCATGTTTGTTTACAGGGTTAAGATACTTAGATTTTGCCTTCCTAAACAACGACAATGGTATAGTACCAAATCCATAGAGAAGTTCGAGAAGGTAGCAAACGATTGCAAGATGGAAATGGACTACAGCTTAGGAAAATTTTTTTAGTGGGGCAGGAGAGGGGCGGGAGTCCGGAAGAATAGGGGATGGGACGGGGTAAGGAGAGGAGAGAGAGGGTGGGAGTTCTATAAAAGGGCGGGAAGTTTGAAAAATAGGGAGAATTAAAGCCGTTCCAAAGTCGTTCCACGGTCGAAACTTCCCGGCCGGGCTAGGCGTGAGGAACGGCTGAGCCGTTCCAAATTGAAGTAGGCTTTTCTAACTGACTCAGACGCCGAACTTTTCATGTACTTAATTAAATGTATTAGGTTCGGCTCACGAAAAGATCGGCGTCTGAACCGGGCCTAACTCCACCGAGTGGGCATCATTGGGCAGATTAAGCTAAGACAACGCAATGTCCAATGAGAACGCAAAGGTCCACAAAAAGGACTGAACGCGACTTCTGGTGCTTAATTTACTGTTTACCAAATGAAGTTTTAAAAAATATGTTCCATTTGTCCGTCCACCGAGTCCCACGCACCCCCGAAAAAAAAATACATGAGGCTTGTTATCTTCACTGCGTCGTCGCCTAGTCTTTGCTAAATCTTCCTTTTGGATCCTGAGCGCCCTTAACCATTAACTGTATCTCAGCAATTTGTTTCAGTATCTACAATTTGTAATTTGATTGGTAGGTATGATGTAGATAACACAGACCTTTTGCAGCTGAGGCTTCTTTCACAACAAAAGCAACTGTCGGATTACAAGGCTGCCAAAGACACAAAGTAAGCGATTTTCTTTTTCTTTTTCTTCTTTTTTTTTTTTTACTCTTTTCAACGTAAGAATGTCATCATTCGAATGGAATATGTTAGGGACAGTTTATACCTGGAAGAATTCGTTTACAGTACACCCGCTTCTGACACTCGCTTTTCTTACAAAAGAAACACAGCAAAAACTCGTTGCGGAAAGCATCATGGTTCGGCATGTCGCCCGTTCCTTGTATCGAAACCCTAGTTTTCGTACTCACTCTATTTCTAGCCTGCGTAACAGGCCCTTGGAAGTAATGGGCACAAGAAAGAACGCGGCGCGCATGAGGTGATGAAAGAAATAAGAACGCAATAAAGAAAGAACGAGGTGCGTGACATATCAAGCAGTGGCTGCCAAGTAATTGGATAGGGGGTGGGAACTACTTTGTTGGGCCTCTCGGGCAGGCGCTCCATCTCCTCTCGCTTGTCTCCATTGCGAGTCCCGTTCTTTCTCGCATAATCCAAGCGCCTGCTACCATGTGCTACGTACGCTATTCTCTTTCGGCTCATTGGCTAAGAGCCGGCGTACAGTTAACAGTGCCATTGAAAATCTATAAAACGTAGAGGGTACTCAGATACTACTATAATAATATATTATCATTAAAAGTTTTGCGGCACGTTTAAGTATAAGTCTAAAGGGAAACCGGTCGTTTCGATACGAACAGAAGCTTTGAAACTGCTCAAGAAATTTGGTTCACTTAAAGTATCCAGCGCATGAACAAGAAAAACATATGGCGTGAATATTTCTCGTTCTATAAGCCGACTACGAAACTTGGACTATTGACAAAATAATAACACTTGAGGTCATTGCTTTAGCAAATGTGGTGGCTCCTAAAAGAGCCGTTTGATTTGTTGAGATGCTATCCGCTTATGCTCGTTCTCCACGGATTCGTCGGGCCAACTGAATGTCGTTGGGCATGATGGTGACGCGCTTAGCGTGGATGGCGCACAGGTTGGTGTCTTCAAACAGACCAACAAGGTAAGCTTCGCTAGCCTCTTGAAGAGCCATCACAGCAGAGCTCTGGAAACGCAGATCGGTCTTGAAGTCCTGAGCGATTTCTCGCACAAGACGCTGGAAGGGCAGCTTGCGGATCAACAGCTCGGTAGATTTCTGATAGCGACGGATCTCACGAAGAGCGACCGTACCAGGCCTGTAACGATGTGGTTTCTTAACGCCACCCGTGGCAGGAGCACTCTAACGAGCTGCCTTTGTGGCGAGCTGTTTGCGTGGCGCTTTTCCACCGGTTGATTTACGAGCAGTTTGCTTTGTACGAGCCATGTTTTTCGTTTCAAGAGGATCGTTGAGGATAAAATGATCAATAAATTAGTTTATTCCACTATAATTTTAGAATTTTATACATGACGGGCTACATTCTGATTGGTCGAAAAATATCTTTTTCTGATTGGCGAAGAAAATCCTTTGTAATATTTTGAAGAAAGTATCAACGGTTCATGCCGACGGAGTTGGATCCCAACAAACTTTACGCTATCTCGAGTCGTTTTTCCAAGACGTTTCGCATTAGAAAATACATATAACCATCGCAAAAGTAATAAGTAATTGGTGTACTTTAAACACCTTCTCTTTTTGACTAAATGAATTACACTTCTATGAATATTGTGCCATGAACATGCAAAGCTCTCTTTGTAGAACTGATTATGCGCATATATTACATCTGTGTGTGTATAATTGCTCTTTGGACTTGGTTTACTTTTGTTTTAATCTGACTAATAAAAATATTACTAAGTTTTCGGAGAGGTCCACTTTTTTGGTATATAAGCCAGGCAGAACACCTTTTTGGAAATCATTTTAGTTAGAGAGCTACAACATGTCCGGTCGCGGTAAAGGAGGCAAAGGTCTAGGAAAAGGAGGCGCCAAGCGTCACCGAAAAATCCTTCGTGATAACATCCAAGGCATCACCAAGCCAGCCATCCGTCGTCTTGCCCGTCGTGGCGGTGTCAAGCGAATCTCTGGCCTGATCTACGAAGAAACCCGAGGTGTTCTCAAAGTTTTCCTTGAGAACGTGATCCGTGATGCCGTGACGTACACCGAGCACGCAAAGAGAAAGACCGTGACAGCCATGGATGTAGTATACGCTCTTAAACGCCAGGGACGTACTCTGTACGGATTTGGTGGCTAGATTCCACCGTCTACACAAACCAACGGCTCCTTTAGGAGCCACCATATCCTATGAAAGTCATAACCAATTCTCCAGTACAGTACTTAACTCTTTCTTCCTACACTGCTTGANTTCTATGAATATTGTGCCATGAACATGCAAAGCTCTCTTTGTAGAACTGATTATGCGCATATATTACATCTGTGTGTGTATAATTGCTCTTTGGACTTGGTTTACTTTTGTTTTAATCTGACTAATAAAAATATTACTAAGTTTTCGGAGAGGTCCACTTTTTTGGTATATAAGCCAGGCAGAACACCTTTTTGGAAATCATTTTAGTTAGAGAGCTACAACATGTCCGGTCGCGGTAAAGGAGGCAAAGGTCTAGGAAAAGGAGGCGCCAAGCGTCACCGAAAAATCCTTCGTGATAACATCCAAGGCATCACCAAGCCAGCCATCCGTCGTCTTGCTCGTCGTGGCGGTGTCAAGCGAATCTCTGGACTGATCTACGAAGAAACCCGAGGTGTTCTCAAAGTTTTCCTTGAGAACGTGATCCGTGATGCCGTGACGTACACCGAGCACGCAAAGAGAAAGACCGTGACAGCCATGGATGTAGTATACGCTCTTAAACGCCAGGGACGTACTCTGTACGGATTTGGTGGCTAGATTCCACCGTCTACACAAACCAACGGCTCCTTTAGGAGCCACCATATCCTATGAAAGTCATAACCAATTCTCCAGTACAGTACTTAACTCTTTCTTCCTACACTGCTTGAATTCGTATTGAAAGGACGGGTTTCCGTAGCGCTTCTACGGTACATGTGGACGGGAAAACTATTTGAAGTAACCGCCAACGGCCTCTCCTACTATTTGACACACCAAAACATAAGACTTTTTCGACGCGAAAGGAATCAAAGTCATGAAGCTGGTATTGAGCAAAATTTCAGCAAAGTTTTGAAAACTGTTTCAAATTTCAGCCCTGGTTGCGCACGCTTGTGCAATCCGATGTTAATGACTCAAAAGTGATTTTAATGTCTTTTACTTTACAATGTCTCGGAAATCTTACTTCATTTCGTCACGGGTTTACTGTATATACTAAGAACTAACGGCCTCCGCGCGTATCGATTATGTTGGTCGTTCATGGGTGACTCGTCACCAAAGAACAAGTAGTAGGAACGCATCGGCCAGAGAGCTCGCACACCAAATCAGTTAATACAAAGCTCCATGAAAGATACAGTGTTCAATCCTAGAAATAAAAATGCAGCCTAATGATAACTTGTTCCTTTCGTAATCCGTACTTTAAGTCATGTGCCGCGTTCTAGTAAGCGTAATTGATCTCTGGAACGTTTGCTGACATTAATGTCTGTCAACTTCTTAGAAACCAGTTGCGTTTATTGTGCCTTGTGGTACTTTTCGGTACAAAGCGATATCTTTGCGCAAAGGTTTTATTCAAAGTCAAAATGGTGGGAAATAAAGCGCCGAGCGAAGCATAATTATGTTAGCTTTATTTTGTGCTAATTAGTTTTTATGCCGCTCATTCGAATTTATTCGCATCTTTTACTAGAATGTAATCTAAGTAGAGACACTTCAATCTTTCCAAAATAAGAGTAAGGTACCTCAGTCGAGCGACTCGACTTGTTCTCTTGTATTTGTCTACAGAAATCGTAGGGCTAATTAATCTATTTGCAAGGTATATGGAAGGCAGAGATAGAGCAAGAAAGCAATAGGCGACAAAACCGTTTGTAGTAACCACTAAACGCCACCACAGTTTGATTCACTGAATGTTAAGTCGTCTGTTACAAACCACTTCAGTGAGTAACTAGGGGGTTGGTTGGTTGGCTACTTATGTATGGATGGCTGCGCACGTTTGTTAAAAAATTACCTTTGCAATACTCTTCATGCTAACTCATGTGCTCTACTTAACATCGCATGAAAACTAAAGTTTAACGGGACATCATCTCATTATCGGAAACTATTAAAACAGTTACTTCGTGCTCAACGTTAAAACTGCACTCATTTAGATGCGGTTAAATTTTGCGCTCCATTCAAAAGTGTTCTTAAAATTTACATTTAAATAGTTATGTTGGCTTTCGAATGGTATAATCAAGTTGACGCAGGATACGCACGAGAAAGCGCGTACGCTATGACAGTTATTTTAAGAAGAGATGAAGCTTAAAGAATACTCGATCTGGAGTGCATAACTCACTGAAACTGGATGTAAATTAACTTATCTTAGTCAGGCACGTTTAGAAATAAAAGCGCTATTTGGAAAGATCAATTAACCGAGAAAATTTATCTTTCCGCGTTGTTTTAACTACTTGCAATACTTTTTGGTAGTTTAGACTTCCAAAGCGAGTCATGGTCATGGCTTTTATAGCATTTGGTGGCTCCTAAAGGAGCCGTTTGGTAAATGAAAGCTGAATTAAGCTTTCTGTTTTTTCTCGGTTTTCTTGGGAAGAAGTACAGCCTGGATATTGGGAAGAACACCACCTTGCGCGATAGTGACACCGGCGAGCAGTTTGTTCAACTCTTCGTCATTTCGGACGGCCAGCTGAAGGTGACGGGGAATGATTCTTGTCTTCTTGTTGTCACGAGCAGCGTTTCCAGCCAACTCTAGGATCTCAGCGCTCAAATACTCAAGCACAGCAGCTAGGTACACTGGAGCACCAGCACCAACACGCTCAGCATAGTTGCCTTTCCGAAGAAGACGGTGGATACGACCAACAGGGAATTGAAGCCCTGCTCGGGATGATCGGCTCTTGGACTTGGTGCCCTTAGCTTTTCCTTTACCGCGACCAGACATGTTTTCAAAGTTAACAGAAACCTTCTAGTGAAGTGAGAGTTCAAATTTTGGCAGAAAGCAATATTTGTAGATTATTTCAAAGTCTGTAGGATCGAAAGGCACCAATCAAGGCTCTCGGTTTAATTTTCAAAGAAGCTTTGTTTTCATGTGACATTGCAACACGTGGCTAAGTGTAAAAGACTTCTGTATATCCATGTTTTTAGCCAATCAAATAACTTGATTTTCGATCCGTATGTTAATCGATCCTTACCCTATTCTGTTATAAATATCAAGTGCATAGAGTATTCAGGCATTTCTAAACCATATTGAAATACAGACATGGCCCCCAAAGTTGCAGGTAAGAAAGGCGAGAAGAGAGCCGGAAAGGCAAAGGCTCCATCTGATGGAAAGAAGAAGAGGAGAGGAAAGAGAAAGGAAAGCTACGCTATCTACATCTACAAGGTGTTGAAGCAAGTTCACCCTGACACTGGTATCTCTAGTAAAGCCATGGGCATCATGAACTCGTTCGTCAACGACATCTTCGAGCGCATCGCCACCGAAGCTTCCCGCCTTGCCCACTACAACAAGAAATCAACCATCAGCTCCCGCGAGATCCAAACCGCTATCAGGCTGCTTCTGCCCGGTGAACTGGCCAAACACGCTGTCAGTGAAGGAACGAAGGCTGTGACCAAGTACACCAGCAGCAAGTAAACTTACTTCGTAAGTTTACCGCCAAAACTAACGGTTCCTTTAGGAGCCACCAAATATAATAAAAGTTATGACCAATATTGCCGAACATAAAGCTCAACGCGCGTTTCCTCTTTTTTAGCGATCTCTCTAAAGCAGGCACCGCTCTTGTTTGCGCCAAATTCTCATTGATTTTTGCGACTTGTTGCGGCTACGAAATTCTGTTGCGGAGACAAAGATTTCCACAAAAATTCTCCAGTACACACGAAACGAATGAGGGTACGTAATTGGCAATGTCAACAAAGTGAACTTGTAGACAGCAGCCGTAACACATCTCCTATATTAGTCCGGCCTCCCAGAATTGAACTCGTCTCTTTCGCTCTGCATGCAAACAAAACGGCGCTCTAAGCCATTTTCAGTTTGCCTAACACTTTTGTCTTAACACCCCTTATCGCGAACAAGCTTGAACAGTTTTATGAAAGCACTAGGGCAGACTGGACAACCTTTTTTCTTCCTAAAAGACTTCACCACGAGCGGTCTTCCTTCTTTCCTCAGAACTGCCCGCCGCGGCGCAAAATTAAAATCATGCAAATTAGTGGTGAAAAAGACGATAGATTGAAGCGGAGAGAAGGTTTCCGTCCTCGTTTCTCGCGGCGTCGCTACTTAGATTTCACCTCACCCGTGCCGGCTCTCGAGCTACTGTGACTCAAAAGAAAAATAAGTGACTAAACGCAGTCTGTAAAATAACCCACCTGAGAAGAAATCTGAAGTCCAATGAATTCTTCGTTTAGATAGACAAGAAGACAAGAAGATTTATTTCACTCAGTTCCGTTTTATATTTGACAGAGATTGAAGTGACAATGACAAATAAGTACATTTACTTACACAAGAAATAACCGACCCAGTGTGTTCGAATGTTCGAATATTAAGTGGAACTTTTGCTTACAGATTTGCTTCAAGAAATCCTCGGGACAGTCCAAGTGGTCAGCTTAGTACCCCTGTGCCAGGAATTAGAGCACCCAGCTCCGCGGTAAGCCTTCTTCCTAAACGTTTCTGCAATTGCAGTTATCATTTTGTAGTATCCTCTTGTGCTGTCACTGAAAGAATATTTATCTGACACCTTAATTCTTTCTTCGTCGTAGCGCTTCAATTTTTCCGTTATGTCCAATTTTTTATATAGATTGCAAATAGTTGATGACCCCACTGAGGTATGCGACAGCGGTCTTTCTTTGGTGCAATTCAGTTCTAATTTGTTACAGCCTGTGACCCGTCTAAAAGCCAAATTCGTAGGGACGTTTTCGTTGTAGCTGTTCTTTCAAGTGTTTGTTTGTTTATTTGTTTGTTTTCATCGTGCATGCGTATAAAATCTTGTCATAATCATTTTACACGCAAGGGAGTGCAAGGGATTTGCTTTGTGTTTTTTTTTCTGGCGTCTCTATAACCAAAGCACGGGAAAAAAACAGCTATCACAAACAGCAAGCTTCCCAGCTAGTCATCTCTTACCCTCTCTTGAAATTGTTATTGTTCAAACTGTTGCTGCTCGTTGTCACTGAAGTTTCTACGTTTTTTTTTTTTTTGTTTTTGTTTTTGCATACAGGCATTTTCTTCTGCTACTGATTTGGAAAGCGCCGAAACTGATGGAAAATGGGCGGAAGAAGAGTCGGATATCAGCTCAGTTGACGAGTTTGACAGCGTGTCAATCAAAGGAAGACGGAAGGAATTCATGGATCGCAAAGCCGCTTTACTCAATCAGAGAGTATCTCAAAATGGCGTTGAAGATGGCGATTCCCCCGATTTCGAAAACAAGGACAGCATGGAAAGCATCGATAAAAAGACACAGTCTGTGAAAAAGAATGGAATTCCTGCCGCCAAAGGAGTTAAAAAAGGGAAAATACGATTCAAAGATCAGGAAGGAAAGACGCCTGACAATCAGAAAAAGAGTAAGGATAAAAGAAAAATTGCAAGGAAAGGGCAAGAGGATGAAGAAGTGACGAAAGATGATGCGGGTGATACAAGTGCTCCAAAAGAAGAGAAAAGAAATAAATATTTAGATGAGTGGCTCGGAATAAAAAAAGAAGAAGTTGATACCAGATATCAGCCGGGGAAACCTCCACCAAACAGGTATATGCTGGTATAATTCGGGCTCTACTTTTTAATTTTGTCTTTACACACATGCTGTCAAGTACGAGAAGATGTGTTTTATTTGTCATATCTAGACCTACCAAGAAGTGGTAAAAAAAAAAGAGCATTGGCGCACCCGAATCAAGTACACAAGCCATTTGGATATCAAATAAAACGTGTCTAGTGATTTAAACCTTCTGTTTTGCGGCGAGTGTAGTAGGTTTTTTGTTTGTTTGTTTTTCTTGCTCTCGTTTGGTACTTATGATTCTTTGGCTTTATTTTCGTCAGGATTTTTATGTCAACTAACACAGACGTCTCAAAGAAGAAAAGAGGAAAATTTTCTTCGTAAGTAATCAGAAACTATTCCGTTGTATGAATGAAAGACAGTCTAGACTGTTCACAGTCCCCTATTTTTC